TCCATTTTGGTAGGACTGCAGATATTATTTGAAAAAAGAATACTAGTTTTAGAGATGATTGGATTTCTCCATGAAAAGCAACACCTGCAGTTTGCTTTTACTAGAGCCAAACACATGAATAGGATTTATACGAGTTTCGATTTTTACAGCATTTCTGAACCGGTGACAAACATCAAAATCACTCAGAATGAGTCAGTATATGCATGTTCTTTTCGAAAAACAGAGTTTTTTTGTCCCAAACAGACGTTTTTTTGGTGTTTTATTTGAAGGCTCAGCAACAGTCGAAGAGTGCTGCAAAAAGTCCACAAATCTAGGTGCCGGGCTATGACAGTAACCAAAAGCCTTCCATTTTATAAAGAGAACTGTTCCGGAAGAATATTTTTCGGCGGTACAAATAAACCGTGACATTTTTCAATGCCATTCGGTTCCTCTACAAAAAGAGCTGGGAGCATTTTCTCGGCAATATTTGAGAATAACAGGTTTTCACCAGATTGTATACGAGATCAAATATTTTTGTAGGAGGCCGCTGCTAAGGACCTTCGTCATGCCAGACGTGTATTAGTTATCACCGGTGCGGGCATTTCTGCAGATTCCGGTCTACCAACCTATCGTGGCATCGGTGGTCTATATAGTGATGGTCAAGAAACCGAAGAGGGACTGACAATCGAGGAGGCTTTGTCCGGCTACACGATGCGCACGGAGCCGGATATTTGCTGGAAGTACATTTGCCAAATCGAGTCTACTTGCCGTGCTGTCAAACACAATGCTGCGCACGAAGCACTTGTGGCTTTCGAATCAAAGTTTGAACAATTCACTGTGCTCACACAAAACATCGACGGTTTACACCGCAGTGCTGGTACAAAAGACCTCATTGAAATTCACGGCAACATTCATGAACTGTTTTGTACCGCTTGTAACCATGAAAAACAGGTTGTCAACTTCGCCGACTTGAAAATTCCACCGGATTGCGAGCGATGCGGTGCGCTCGTACGTCCACGCATTGTCTTATTTGGTGAGATGTTGCCAGCGCCAGCGTTAACGCGACTTTCTGAGATAATGGATAAAGGTGTGGACGCCGTTATCACAATTGGCACTACCAGTGTGTTTCCATACATCGCTGGGCCTGTGTTACGCGCTTCAGAAACCAATGCGATTACTATTGAAGTCAACCCGAGCAATACCAAAGTATCACATGCTGTACGCTATCGTCTGCGCGAGCGGGCTATCGTCGCTTTGCCCGAGCTATTGAAATACCTTTCGTAGTCCATTTCAATTTTTGATCCACGTTTGGCGTCAGACTCCATTGAGAAAATCAAAATTACGGACTATGGATAAGAAAATGAGTGCGATCAGCAGATCATGGTTCATACATTGTCTCGATCGATACCTTTGTGTTCTCCTTTATCGTATCGAACCAGATCCTGAAAAAACAAACGGTTGGTGCGCAACAACAGTTTTCTCAATTGTGTTTTTGCACTCATCTATTGTCATCCGAGCTGTCTTTTCAAGTTTTCTGGCAAAAGTAGTGTCGTTGAGCGACGAGAACGATTGAAGAAGATACGAGATATCAGAACAGTAGATATTGTCTTTTCTTCCATGGTGACAAGTCATATTCTATAAGGTTTCTTTATACTGTCACATAGTTATAGACCATGCAACATATTATTCGCCATAGTCCGCCATCACCTATAAATTCGTTTTAATTAAAAAAACCGAAATCGTTGAAAACGACAATGGACAATATTAATTTAACACAATTAATCAAAAAATAGTTTTACATCCTTATAAACATCTGATGTATTTATGCAATCGATTGAACAATAGTAAATAAAGCATGCCAACGATAAGATGAACAAATTAAACAATTGACTAACGAGTTAAAAGATACGAAAGATGAATTATTGTCATTTGAATCGGTTGATGCTATTTTATTATAAATATGACGAAACCCAAACTGTCCTGTCTGATTACTAGTGGTGATTGCCAATTCTTTGCACTTTTCCCAAGCAGAATCAAAATTGCCTTTTACTTTAGTATGTACTGCTCCAAGACACTGGTAGATACTAGCGTTTAGAGCTTGTTGACTAGATTGAGTGTTCTTCTTATGAGCCACACATGCGTCACAAAACATGTTTGGCACTTTTCGGTAGCAGTTACGAAACTGAAACTCGTTAAGGGTACCCCCCCTCTTTTTTACAGAAAAGTTGTCATTTTCAGCTGACTATAGTGTAATGTAGAGGAGAGTCTGAGGTATAAAATAAGACCACTCCCACCTCTTCATGACGTTCCTTGAAAAACTTATGGAATTTTTAAAATTTTTTCTTGAAAGTCTAGAAAATCTCAATTTTTTAGATTCGTAAAGTTTTCTCTCCTTGCCTATATATTCAAAACTTTTTCTTATACATAGCATGATAGAGGAAAGTGTGCTCTTCAAAATGACATGTTTTCTAGAGTTTTCTGATGAGTTTTCTTAGAGATATAAGCATAGCTACAAATGCCCTGTAACACAGAGCCCCCTGTACAACGTGTGTTTTTCTCACTATGCGTTTTTTCAATAGTCCTTTTAATTGGCACACATTTTGACCCGCCGAAAAAATGGTCCAATCGAGCTCAAAATATTACCACAGGTACTTGAGACCCTATCTCAGGTTCGTTTTTTTGAAACGGTTAGCTCAACTTTTCTCTACAGATCTATCTACAAATGAATGATCAATAAGAGACTCCTGATGAAAAATATTTTCTTATAACCACAAGTTTGTAAAGAAAGGCAGTAACAGAGACGTGGAATTGATGATCACTAGAGAGACACAGCTAGACAGACATGATAACTCAACCTAATCTAGCACAGAGATGTAGAATTGATGATCACTAGTGAGACACAGTGAGATAGACTTGATAACTCAACGACGTAGCATGAATTGACATGTATCTTGCTATTTTCAAAATTCTTAAGGGACTGCTATAGAAATTCTAAGGCGATTTTCTGAATAAAATGAAAATTCAATCTATGGAAAATTGAATATCAGAATTTTATAGAAAGCCAGAAAATCGACACGGAATCTATGAAAGTCAGAAAATCGCCGGTGATTTTCAAGATCGATTTTCTATAAATCAGAAATAAATTCCAAATTAGCCAGATTCATCTAAAACCTACCACCATTTACATCGACCTTTGACTTTATTGATCAGACAGGTTTCATATTATACAGCTCAGCATGCTGAATCGAATGGTGAAAACCGCAAGTCCCTAGTCTTGTTAGAAAAACAGTTATAGCCATTTTACTGTCGCCGCGGAAAAGTGCATTTTCTGCCGGATTTAGTCTAATTTGTAGAACGTCTGCTGACCACATTTCCTAACGTAGAACCTTGAAGTTGGTATCAAATGAACGAGCGCGTCGAGTTCTATATATTTCGATGAAGAAACGTCATGCCAGGCCTTTGTATGTATTCTTTTAAGGTTAAAATTAAAACTCCAGTGTTAGACGAAATATTGGGAGAACTTTCAAAGAATATTAAAGAGTTTTCAAAAACGACAATCAGTATTCATTCTTCTAGGTGGCTTATACTTTTTGTTGATGCACTGTTGAAAACAGAAAATAATGTTGATTCAAGAAAAAGAATGGTTAACAAATTCAAAGTATATTACCAGGACAACTTAGCTAATGGAAAGTTCCTGAATGATTTTGAACAAACATATGATTCTGAAAAGGCTATATGGTGATACACAACAGATTCTGTTCTTTATCGTATTTTTAACAAGGCTTTCCGCGATCAAAACATTAAAATAATTTTTTATATGCATTTTTTTATCGTTGATTTATTCAAACAACTACAGAGTGCTGTAAATTTAAAGAACTAAACAAATATCAACGTATTATTAAGGGTACCACCCCCCCCCCCTTTTTTTGCAGAAAAGTTGCCATTTCCAGCTGACAATAGTGTAATGTAGAGGAAAGTCTGGGATATAAAATGAGGCCACTCCCATCTCTTCATGACGTTCGTTGAAAAACTTATTAGATTCCCTGTAAAACAGAGCCTTTTGTACAATGTGTGTTTTTCCCACTATGCGTTTTTTCAATAGTCCTTTTAACTGGCACACATTTCGACCCACCGAAAAAATGGTCCAATCGAGCTCAAAATTTTACCACAGGTACTTGAGACCCTACCTATGGTTCGTTTTTTTAAAAAGCATTTTCGAAATCAACTTTCGGCGTGAGAACGTTTTCAAAATGCAAAACCAGTTTTTTTCTTTAGGATTTTCAGTATATCGATCTTTAAAGATCGGATATTTCTAGACGGAAAGAATATTTTTCGAAAAGACAAAAACGAACCTGAGATAGGATCTGAAGTATCTGTGGTAAAATTTTGAGCTCGATCGGACCATTTTTTCGAGGGATCGTAATGTGTGCCAATGGAAACTGGAGCTTTCCAGAAAACCCATAGAAGATCTTGTCAGAAAATTCTGGGCAAAAATACATCGGTTTTCTTTTTCGATGTTCTATCTCTGATATAAATTAGAACCCGATCCAACATCGGCTTTCACACGTTTTACATAATGAGACAGAAAATCAAACTGTTGATGTTCTGTAATCAGAGCGTCCTTTTAATCTAAAGTTTTTGAAGAACATAATTAATTATTGTGAATAAACTAACTAAACGAAGATGACGTTTATTTAAGAGAAATATGAGTTAGGTTGTTGGTTTGATTAATTATATCTGCATGTGGATTTAACACTAAATTTAATAAACGTTTATCTGAATGTTGATATTTCTTCTGTTTTTGTATTGATGCTCTAGTTTTGGCGTGTAAAATGTTTGTACGAATGATCAAGTCTTCCTCATCACATAATTTGTCACTGAATTTCCATAATGTTGGATGAGAACATTGAAATAGATTGCCTATATGCAAGGGAGTGCAATAGTTACCGAGAAAAACAGGCAATCAAAAATTAAAGAATATGAAACTGTTACGCACCAATACGGCGATTCCAGGCTTCAGATTAATTATTTGTTTTCATTAATGAAGCTTTTGTTCTGTCATGAACGTTCCAAAAGTCAATTGGAAATAAAGGACGCGCTCTGCTGCCATTAGAGCGCAATCGACCGATATAGGTATCTTCAAAGTAATCAAGTATTTCTTGGAACGATGGATATAATCCTATACTAAGTCGACCAAACCCGTCAATAATATTATCTGGATGAATAAAACATAATGCAATAATTTTGTGAATTCCATGTGCAAAATCTAAATCATTTTCATAACGATTCTGAAAGCCACGTGTCTACAAAATAATGAAGAAGCAGGTAGAGAAAATTGATGCAATCATGAAATGTAACCGTACTTGCAATTGTCGATGGACACTTTGACGTAAATGAAAATAACAGCCTGATAGTGTCGCATGTGGAAAACCAGCTTCAAGTACATTTTTGACTGCTTTTTCGTAATCGAGTAAGATGGATTCGCGGTACCATAATGGAGCATTTCGATAATGTGATTAATAAGCCGTTGATATGTTATTGCATTTTTACGACTTAATAAAGCAAATACAACAGGTATAACATGTCCACGGTGCACTGCATGTATACATATAATTTGTAAAATATTTCTAGCACTACCTACAAAATATAAATACTCTTGAGGTTGGTTATTTAAGAAGAAGAAATGCATACCTCAAAAGTACCATCAACAAGAAAGTCTGTTGCTATTTCCAGAACGGATAATTGTTCTGGACTGCAGAAGATAAATAAACGCTCTGGCCCTATAAGCAGCCGGTGCTTTTATAATCGAATGAATTAGGATAATTTCACTTACCAGGACCATTGTCAGAACGATAAAAAGATTTGACCTTGTTTGGTTACTTGTAATACTGACGGCACAGTTGGAAAGTCGATGTTATTAGGAACAGATGGTAAATGATGATTCTGGCGACGGTTACGAATTTTTCTCTTGACATGTTCCAATGCTGGTGAATCGCTGCTGACGATCTTTTACACACGAATATCCGTCGTCAACCATTAGTGGTCGACCTTTCGTAGTTATAGTCATTTCACGTTGAGAAGTCATAGTACAGAAAATTTCGAAATCGTACAGTACCGTGCGCATGATTCCACGCGCAAGTTTTCTCGTGCGCGTGAGCCTGTGTGCAAAAATCCATGCGCAATACTGTTCGTGCGCATCGTTCCGGAACCCACTTATGTCAGCGAAAGAAATCGACTCATTGAAATCAGATTTTGACAATCAGACAAATAAATTAATTTTCGCAAATGGTTTCTTTCCAAAACGACCACTCCAACTCAAAAGGAGTACTCCAAAAGCTACAATGCAGTACCCACAAAAAATGAGTACTCCTGAGTGCTGCTTTTTTTGAAGTGCTCCGAAGTACCTCAGCTGCACTTTATAGAATGGAAGAGGTACTCATGCGTACGCCTAAAAAGTGATAATTCTGTAAGTCTTATTCAAAGTACTTATAAGTATTTCTTTTTTGTAGTGCTTCGGAGCACTCCTTTTTATAAAGTGTAGCTGAGGTACTGCGGAGTACTTCAAAAAAAGCAGCACTCAGGGGTACTCGTTTTTTGTGGGTACTCCTTTTGAGCTGGAGCACTCTTTTTGGGAAAAGGGTGCCCCTTTCTTTTTTTTCCAAAAGGAGTGCTCCATGATACTCCTCTTGACATTTTTTTTTGACTGGGTAGCGCTTCTCAAATGCAACATACCATTGAACTAGAAATTTTCTAGTAATGAAAAACCTGTCGTGCAGTATATTGGACAAAGCAATCATTTCGACTCCTGTAGTATGTAATAGTACTATAGGAGTAAGTATTTTACAACACAAGAGCAAATGCTGGTTTTCTTTTCAGTATACAATTTATTAGATTTTCTGTTAGTCCGATTTTCGATCCGCACGGGACAAATCGTGTAAGAGAACTTTGTCAATAACGAGGAAGAAGATGCATAATTTCTAGGACCTTTAAAGCGACAGAGTCCCCTTGGCACAGTTCACATCAATCTACTTGCCTGAGTAGGAAAAGTTGTCGTATTTAGACCGAAGGTCTACGATCACCGGCTGTGTTATACTGACATCATGTTTAGACTAGTGTGACAATTTATTGTACCACATAAATGTACTTTCCAGTGCAGACGATGGTTACTTAAACCTTTGTTCATTTGCTATCAATGCAGTATGTAGGTCGATATAAGGCAGCTTTACATTAAAATTGCTTCGCTGAAGAGTTATGAGTTTCCTTCCACTGGCGACATCTGTAGGAAAAATATAGAAAAAAATCCATGAGAATTCGTTTTAGGTCCTAGGTTAGATATTAGTTGGGTTAGACGACGCCTGTTCTGATCGGGACTCCTGTACATAGGAACGTATAGTCATTTATAATGTTTTTAAAGATAACAGGAGGCCACCATTTCCGTGGTGTTACGTTGCACATACGATTCTTTTTAAAATTTTAGAAAAAACGAAATGTTTTTTCGTTTTAGTTGAGTTTTGATTTTTGAATAGTAGTCATAGAAATGTCAATTAATCTTCATCGTCTGGATTTAGTGATGGATGATATTTTCTTCTAAATTCCTTTTCTTTCAACTTTCTGATTAACAGATCTTGTGTGTTCATCTTAAAAACGGGAAGACACTGAATTCACCAGTAGAACAGCGAGCTGTATGTCTGTGAACTTTTTGAGCATGAGGTAAATGTAGAACAGAATGTTTATGACTATGTATTCTTGCTCTTAAATCTACAGATTCGTCAATATATGTTTGTGAACAACATGGACATTGTATTACATAGATCAAATATTTGGTATTACAATTCATGTTTGCATTGCATTCTAATTTTTGACCATGTTCATTGATGATGTAAGAAGAAATTTTTAGTCTGTTACATAAGAAGCACCTTGATGCATTACATTTTGAAATAATTGGTGCTACTGGAGTATTAGAATAAAAATTCGTTGAGACCGCAAGTTTGGCGATTGTCGTCTAGCATATATAAGACGATGATTATTTGCTGTGTGTGGTTTCTGACTAGATGAAAGTACCTGTGGTAATAACGATCTAATAAATGGAAATAAATCTAAATTATTCGGATTATATGTTGATACAAGTGTTAATGGCGCTAGTAGTTGCGGTTGTGCCGCTTGATTAGTTGTAACAGATGATGCATTGTCATAACTTCTTCGAATAGCATCAGAAAGAAGAGAAGAAGGATAACCGTGAGCTAAAAGATATTCTATCAGTGCATTTAGTCGTATAACTCGAGTACATGGGTCAGAAACAATAAGACAAATATTTCGGGCAAGATTGTAGGGAATATTTCTTCTAGTCGACCGTGGGTGGGACGTTTTGAAATGCAGATAATGAAAAGAATTTGTGGGCTTATAGAATATATCGGTTTCGATTTTGGCCTAATGACTTTTTACTATACACACATCGACAACATGATTGTTCAATAAGAAATTGTATGATGACAATCAGCATTGTCAGGGATAAGTGGGCAAACAACGTGGTGAGTATGCTGTCGGATGATTGGTACTGAGACAAAGCACTTGCACCACTCATACACATCTGGAATTATCTGATTGGATAAGTAACGGTTCTAATTTTATTAAGAATGTACATATTATCCAACTGGTTATTAACCGATAATTTAACTCAGAAACACTCAATTTTGTATAAGATTTCACAACACTAGCATGGTATTATTATTCATTTTAAAATATAGTGCAGTCCATTATTGTTTTCATAACTTTTTAACGGAAAGAGCTAGAACCGCGTGGTTTTCCGCTTTTAAAAGACAAGTGTTGCGGCTATCTGAATATAAAAATCAAGTCAAAAAATACCATCTTCAAGTAGTAGACCACTTCAAAAAACTTTCGATGAAGGTTTCTGACTAATACAAAAGTTTTGAATATTCAATTCTGAATAGTGAATTCGAATCGCCAGATCATGCTCTACAAAACTGCACAAGTCTCAAGCCTTCAGGCGTTTCTCGAGGGCCTACCTATCTCGGTTCGCTTAGTTCTGATAACCATATAAACAACTTCAGACATAGGATTTCGACCATGTTGAGTCACATGACAATGTTTGTTTTCAGACGAGTATTCAGAAACCTGGCGAAAAGCTATACTAAGTGAAATAACTGTCTTTTGACTATTTTCACTGAGAAATAAAAGTTTATAACTTAGTCAAAAGCAATCCAAACTACAAAATTTCTAGACATGCTCAATTTTCTTTGCTCATTCTAGTGCTACAATTAAGATCAGAAAAAAAGTTTGCTTATTTCCAAAGATTTCTAGAAAACCTCCTCAAAATTCAGGTACTTTCTATTGCTTTCTAAAACTTTTGTTGAAATCCAAAATATACACCAAAGAAAATGGAGTATATGTAGAAAATTTGGTGTAGTTTGGATTGCTTTTGATTAAGTTATCAACTTTTTATTTCTGAGTGAAAATAGTCAAAAGTGGGTTATTCCGCTGAATATAGCTTTTTGCTAAGTTTTTGAATTCTCGTTTGAAAACAAACATGTTTGAAGTTGTTTCTATGGTTATCAGAACTAAGCGAACCGAGATAGGTAGGAAGAACACCTGAGCGGCTGAACCATTGTAAATGAAGGCCTGAGACTTCCCATAGGAACTTTTAAATAATTTTAAATTAATGCACACTAATTTCTGACCCAAAAAAAGATGAAAAATTACTTCACGTCAATTTAAGAGGCCAAATTAATTTAAATTCGTTTGTAGTAAACTAATTTACATCAACTTCGCAGTTAAAATGAACTAGAATTAATTTCTTCGCTAAAATTAGCTCCAATTAGTTTGCGAAAACATTAATTTAAATTAGTTTTAACTGAACTGGTTTGAATTAATTTATTTCGAATTGAGTTCGAATTAATTTCGTGCTTTAAATTGCTTCAAATTAATTTCTACTCTCAAATACATTTAAATAAATGTTTCTGTAACAGATTTGGAATAATTTCGATAATATAAATTAGTTTTAATTAATTTCGAGAGAAAAGTTTAAAATAATGTGTATATTCGATCAAGAACGAACTGACCGGCGGTATTTTTTGAATCGCGATGTTTTTTGTCCAGACCTGCAAGAATAAAGTAAAATTCAGCTTTTATTTCCCACTACTACTTAAAAAAAATATCAAGTGCTTTCGACTAGTGTTGGAAAGCGAAGAAAAACATGTCGAACTTTGATCATAATATATTGACAGTTTTTCTATCAAATTTTCTGGCTTCAGATACACTTGATTGTTCGTCCATAATCGTCCTGTCATTCAGTTCGGCACTGATATTTTTTCATTATTGATAGTTACCTATAATTTTTCTGTTATATGTAATGGAATGACTTTCAAAACTATATGTTGTTTCCTACGAAAAATTGCTGTAATCTGACTGGCTTTTTCTGTTTGTCCTAATTTAAATAACACGGCACAATCGGTTTTATTTTTCTGTTCGAGTAGAGTATCAATGGCAAATAGAACATCTTTAATATATAACGTCGAAAAATACTCAATCAGGTTGTTTTCACTTAATTTTTTCAAAAACGATAAAAAACCCACGTCCCCATAGTATATCTGATATAGTTAGAGGCTAAGTTTGTGGTGCCAATGGCAGTCTCAGAAATTCTTGAAAATATTTCTGAACTGAAATAAGTACCTATTTTGGTTTCGAATTAATTTACATTAATTTTTTTTGTAATTATTTACATTAATTTAGATACAAAAATTCGTTCAGATTAATTTTTGATTTGAAATTAATTTCAGTAAATGTTTTCTAAATCAATTTGAATGAATTTGTTATTACAAATTAATTTAAATTAATTTATGAGCAAAAATTAATAGAAATTAATTTTGTTACAGCACCGCAAAGAAATTTGAGTGTATAAATTAATTTACACTAATTTTCAATACCAAATTGGTGCATATTATTTTCCGTTAAATCGATCGACACGAATTTTTGATTGAAAATTGATTTAAATTAATTTCGATCAACAAATCCATTTACATTGGTTTAAAGAAAAATAATATGCATCAATTTGGTATTGAAAATTAGTGTAAATTAATTTATACACTCAAATTTCTTTGCGGTGCTGTAAACAAAATTAATTTCTATTCATTTTTGTTCATAAATTAATTTAAATTAATTTGTAATAACTAATTCATCCAAACTGATTTAGAAAACATTTGCTGTAATTAATTTCAAATCAAAAATTAATCTGAACAAATTTTTGTACCTAACTTAATGTAAATTAATTTCAAGTTTTTCGAAACCAAAATAGGTACTTATTTCAGTTTAGAAATATTTTCAAGAATTTCTGAGACTGTCATTGGATTTCTAGAAAAAAGTTGCTTTGGGAAACTTAGCCTCTAACTATATTTCAGATATACTATGAGAACTTGGGTTTTTTCTTTTTTGAAAAAAATTGAGTGAAAACAACCTGATTGAGTATTTTTCGACGTTATATATTAAAGATGTTCGATTTACCATTGATACTCTACTCGAACAGAAAAATAAAACCAATTGTGCCGTGTTATTTAAATTAGGACAAACAGAAAAAGCCAAGTCTAACTATATCAGATATTGTATGGGGACTTGGGTTTTTTCTTTTTTTGCAAAAAAAATATTGAAATCTTCACCAACTATTTGAACTAATTTAATCTCATATTAGTTTAACCCTTTACCCCCCACAACAGTTCCAGAGGATCCACTGATCAAATAACTACTGGAATAGAGTATTGGTGACTCCAATATGGCAATAGTATGGACAGATCGATCAGGCGCACGCT